ATGGCTAGTTTGCTCTCGGAAGCGACAGTGCGAAGAGGTTTTAGCAGGAAACAGAAGCCGCAAACGAAACATACATCTCTGATTGGTGCGATGAAAGGAATTAACCTGTTTGGGAAAACAATCTTCATAAAAGACACCCCTTAACATGTCTTAATCGGCCTCATTATATAGAAATATAAGTGTGAGGTTTGAGACACTTATTTCTTTCGAATGCAGATTTTCATTTATAATATTATTATTATTATTATTATTATTATTATTATTTTATTTATATTTAAATAATCAAAAAAGAGTTCTGTGTTTCTTTTTTAAATGACGGGGAAGGTCGTGGGGCGGAAGCTAATAAACGCGTTTATAGGCAGTGGGACTTGCAACCTTGCTTGCAGCATAATCCTGTTCCTGGTTACTTAGAAGGAAATACGAATTGCGTTCATCATGGGGGCTTATTCCTGGATGTGGGAAATCATATTGGGGTTTGTTTGTTTTTTCGTGTGGGCCCACAACCCAGTTGCCTGCATCTGAACTTGAAACAAGAACGTAGCCCTCAATGAGACTTGCATCCCCCAAGTTGCGCCTAAAGAGTCCAGTCCGAAAATCCCAACCGGGTTTTCAACGTCTAATTTGCTCCGGAGGGAAGCAAAAAAGGGGATGTTAAGGCAACAGTTGTTATGTTTAAAAGACACCATTTTTAAAACTACCCCCTTCCCCCAGAAGTGAGCCTTTACAAGGGATCCAAGCCACTTAGGACGGGTCATCAGCACTTCAAGCGTGTGTGTATTATGAATTCGTATTGCCCCTTCCATATCCGGCAGGCTACTAGCGAGTTAGCAAATAACGCCGATGTTTTCAAATGCCCCTCTGAGAAACAAACAAAGCCTTATGACAATCTGAAAAGTCCACCTCCTTCAGAAACTTCACTCCCCAGAAAAAGAGCAGCAGCAAACACTACTAACAAAATTGTTTTTCACACCACTTGCCCCTCCCGGAAAAGGAGAGGGCTTACAAGCCTCCCCGAAAAAGAAAGCTGGCAACCACCGACGGCCCCGATCCCTATTCCTTTCAGGAAGTGGAAAGGAGAAGGAGATATCCTGCCAGAACCAATTTCATCTTCGCTTTCCTCCTGTGTGATATAATGGCTCCTATATCCTGTTGTTACTTAAAAATGAGAATATATCCACACACAGAGAAATTGCCATGAATGAGCTTAAACAACCGATTCCCTTTCCGTGAATTTTCTCTGTTCTGGTTCCCTTCTCGAGACTGTGAACCTCTCGGAGCCAGAGGACTTGGCTGCTTGGAAGAACGCAGGCGTTCATTGCAATCCTAAGCACTGCCTACTCAAAACTCACACCTCCCTTGACTTACTCCCAAGTAAGCGGGTATACAGCATTGCAGCCTTTGCGCCCTAGAAAAACAACAACAACAACCCCTTTATTGGACGTCGCCATATAAAACTCACCATATAAATACAATCATTAGCAATAAAGAAGTTGCGTGTTGTTGTTTTTCAAACTCCTTAAGAAACCGACTACCGGAATCTGAATGCACGACTGTGTGTGCGCCTGTTTTTTAACTATGCTTTGAGTAACGAAGCGATCCTAAGCACCCCCACCTCAATTATTCCCTACCATGCCAGCAGGAGGATGGAGAAGTTGCGGCTTAACAGCCTGCAGGACGCCAATGCCGGGCCAAGCCCATCAATAGAGGGTCCTCCCCGATATCAATCTTCCAAAAGATCGCTGATCCTTTAATGGGGGGGGTGTTTATTTTAACCACTTCCCATTAATACAGTTCTACATCGGGGCGGAGGCCTGAATTGCGTTTTTTAAACACCAGCGTGAATCGGGTTCACTTCCAGGGTTGGGAAGTGAAACTCACAAGCGTCTCTGGCGCAGCCAGATCCTGTAGCCACGAGGATCGCTGAAAAAGAGACGTTCCGCTTGGATCGGAGCAGGCTTCCAAGCAAATGGACGTAGCTTCGGAAACTCTCCAAGTTCAGGAGGTTTCTCTGTTTTAAAAGGCCTGTGGATCGCACCTTTGTTCTGATAATACGGCTATTAGTCTCTCCCCCACACTTCCCCCTTTCACCAGCGCTTAGCATCCGCCCTCCTTTCCAAAGCCGAAAACGGAAGTCGAAAGAAAAACAACAAACACGGATCGCCCCAAAGCCCCCTCGAGCCAGAATCCCCCTGCAGCATTTCTCAAATGCTCTTGACAGCAAACCCTGATGAATAACAGTCATCCTTCACTTGCTAAGCAAAACGCAGCCCTCCTTATCTTCCTCCTTCTCCCACAAGTAAAAACAAAACAGAGATCGCTCAATCAATCATAAAGAGGAGACGTTGGTATACAGCATTACTTAAGGGAAATTCTGCACGTGTGAATGTGCGTTTGTGAGAGAGAGAGAGCACTGTATGTTGCTGTTAATTTGGGGCGGAGCAAGTCGACACGGGTCCTCCATGTTCCCACCCACCCCTTGGTGGGAAAGGAGACATTCACATATTAGAGAGGCAGGAATCCCAGGTTTGGTATCCTGTGTACGCAAACACGTTTTCGCCACGTTTGGGACAGCTTCGCCCTGAAATGCGCCGTACAGATATTGGATGGATGGAAGGAAGGAAGGGAATTAACTGCAGTTCTAAACCCCCATTATCCGGGAGTAAGTCCTACTGAATTCGCTGGGACTTTCTGCTTGAGTAGACATTCCTAATGTTGCGCTTGACTCGCTAGAACTACGCTTTCCAGAGCAACCCAGAGTTTTGAAGCCGATTGAACGTGCCACTGGAAAAAGCTTCAAGAGATTTACTCGAAAGAAAGTAGTTCGGGGTGGTTTTCACCCCTAAGAAAATGTTTCCCGCTTGCCCCAGAGCCCTGGGATTCCTACGGGAGGTTGAAGAGGAGGAGAAAGGTGTATTTATTGGATTATTGTCGCCGCGAAGCCTCAGAAAATGACATTTATAATACGTGTGATACAATATCACACCACCTCCTTGCACCTGCTCGTCGTGTAATATTTTCCGTCAAGTATTTAGCGGCTAGCTTGTAAATGCGTTCGGTATTTTTAATATATAATAATATTTCTCTCTGTTTTTTATATATTTCTTATACATACGTATATATCTTAAAAGGGGCACGTTGATCAGTTACCTTCCTTATTTTATTGTTTCTCTATACCAAACTGTTTATTTAGCGAAATAGTCCTGAAGAGAGAATCATTCTACATACTGCGCTTTTATTTCACATACTTAAGGAAAGGGGGTGGAAATAAAAATGCCAAAATGTGAAGGGGGGAGGGGAAGCCCCACATAGATGTGGACATGAAATTTCAAAGACCACGCTAAAGAAAAAGAGACATAACCCCGCCCCCGGGGGGGAAACCTTTCCCCCACTTCGTTCTTTTTGGGGGATCTATCCAATGTACATTCTCCTGCGCAAGAAATATCTTCCTCTACTTATTCATCCATCCATCCATCCATTCATAGATGACTTGTAAAGAAGAACTGCCCACAGCGTGGATCACCCCCCGCAAAAAAACAAAAACTTTAAGCAAAATAAAAGCAACACACACCCATACACCCACACACCCCAAAAAACGACAGCAACAGCAAAACAAATCAGGACATGGAAAAAGTGGCAAGTCTTTGGATAATAAATAATAAATTACTTTTATAATTTTTGCAATGCGAGAGCAAACAAACAAACAAAAGTATTTCCTCCTCCCCCCTCTTTATTTCCAGAGAAAGAGAAAGAGTGAGAGAGAAAGGGGTGGGGGCAAAAAACCCCAGTCCATTAAAAAAAAAAAGCACACATTTTTTTAAAAAAACATAAAAAACCCAAGAACTATACACATCTTTGGGGAAAGGGGAATGTTACTGAACGGACGCCAGTCAAAAACAGAACCCCGAAAGACGATTCTTTTTTTTTCCTTTTCATTTTTCATGTGTGGCCAAAAAGAGGTATACCTTGTTGCGAATGAAGGTTTAAATTGGGATAGATAGATATATATTTATATTTATATTTATATATTTTTAAAAACCGACTCCCTCCTTTAAATTAAAAACAAAAACAAAACGAAACGAAAAGAGTCACTGGAGAGTGGAGACTTCAGGAGAAAAAGGATGGATCTCGACAAGAAACCCACCGACCCACCCGGGAAAAGGGAGAAAGAAAGAGGAAGAGGAGGAGGAGGAGGCCAAAGCTACAGTACATGCTATTGGAGGGACGACCCAGGCGCTTCAAGACCTTTCTTGGGGAAAAAGGAAACAGAGAAATTCCAAACCGCTCGCAGCTCCAACCATCTGAAGAGCTCGTTCTGTCGTGGGATGGTTGGGAGGGTGTCCTTCCTTGATCTTGGAAAAGCAATCTATCAGAGCTCCTTTCAAAGATATATATGTGTATGTATATATATATATATAATTTTAAATGTTGATTTTGTTTGTTTTTTTGGCAAGGGGCGAGGCAGGTCTAGGAAGAACACCATTCGAGTTTGGACGGTCACACGAGTCGTTTTCTGGGCGATGTTTGTGTGCAGTCACTCAACGATGCCATTTGGGAAAAGTTGGCGGCCCTGGGTCCGTATCCTCTTGCGTTTCACAAACGTCTTTAAAACAAAAAAACCAAAATCCTTCTTGATCTCCCTACGATCCTTCTGTGGGGGTGGATTGTTATTATTATTATTATTTTAAAAAAAGAACGAAAGCATTTTCATTTGCTTTGTAAGAGTATTATTCTAGTAAGATCCCAATGATTGTCTTCACAGTGTTGCTACCTTATCATTGCAAAACGAAACAAAAACGAACGAACAAAGACTCCCCAGACAGTTCATGGAGTTTTTCTTTTCTTTAGGTTCATGAACACGGTTGTGTTTAAATACTTTTCTTCTTTTAATTTTCTAATTTCTCTTTCTCCTTCTCTCCGAGTCCCCAAACGTGATAGCTTTCCCACTCTCTCCAGCAGGGGGCGAAAACATTTGAGGACCTCAGCACCGCAAGGAATGTTCCTCATGCCTCAATAGGACTGGCTACCATGCTGTTAGGTGTATCCGGGAGTTGAGAGGACATGGATGCTACCTCACTTCCGGTGGAATTGGAACCTGGGCCTCCTTCTGAAAAATTAACCTGCAAAACATTTTTTTAATAGAGAGAGAGAAAGAGAGAGAATAAACGGTTTACAAAAAGAAAAAAAAAATGCCCATTTCTCTGGCTTTCAAAATATTGCATTTCTTGTAAACTGCTCACGGCAGAGACCTTATGGTGTACATTGTGACAGCATTATATATATAAATACTATCACTAACAACAGTAACTCAAATAGTAACATTATTTTATGTTCTACCGATTTTTATAGCAGCCTGCCATTTCTACTTTTTGCAACCACAGTGCGGGAACAGTGAAATAAGACATATTTGCAAGAATTCACGTGAGGATCGACTCTGGTGTCACCCTGATAGTTCATCATTGCCTCGGAGTAGATTTGCAAACATTCCAAATGGAATATTTATCATTTGGGACACTTAGACAATTAGTTCTGAAATTAAAAAATGGATGGAAAATTTAAAGTTGAACAAATCCCACACAAATGAAAAGCAAGGAATTTACCAGTAAGATCTTGGAACAGCTTTGGGTTTTGTAAAATGTTGGGCTACTGGAGCTATTTATAATAAACATCAGCATTTTATATCAGCAAGAGAGAGTTTTAGTGTTCAGTGTACTTTGCCTACAGCAATCATGTAAGGTCAGTATTAAGCTCACCCTCCAACAGAGACTGAGGAAGAACAAAGAACTGAATAGAAGAGTCTTCACCAACCTTCTGGTGCCTTCCAGATGTTGTTGGACTCCAACTCCCATCAGCCCCAGACAGCAAAGTGAACAGTCAGAGATGATGCCCAACAAGAGCTGCAGAGTACCAGGTTAGGATGCATGCAGCACCATCCTATACATGCTTACCGAGAAGTAACCCCATTGACTTCACTCACTTTTTCTCCCAGCTAAGTGTATACTTAATGGTCACAGCTCTAGCAGAGTTCAGATCTGAGGTTGAATTGGAAGTCAGGTTTACTTGTTTATCTTTTTGATTCTAGCTACCACTTTTTATCACTATACTACAGAAAACTGTATTTAATATTATATTAGAGCTCATAATACTCATATGTTTGGAGCACTGAGCAAGCAATCCAATTTGGGGTGAAAAGATCACGCAATTATCATCATTGTTTGCAGTGGCAAAATTTGTATTTTGGTATGTGGGTACTTTAATGGAGGGCCTCTGTTTTCCTCATCCCCAAGAATTTGCAGTGTACAGTTGTATCAGCTCTGTCTGAAATGTTTGCTGCTCAACTTAAACAGATGTTTTCTGGGGCACAAACCCAATAAACAATTCTGCATAAAATTTCCATATGCTAGTATATACGGATAAGTGCAAATTGAGACTAAATTTTAGAGGGGAAAGCTGCTAAGCAAAGTCGTATCTAAAAAATTATATTTCAGTTCAGAACGGAGAAAGCGTCAACAGTTCCTGGTGCAGAAGACCTGTTGACTCAGGTCACCTCAGTCATCCCTTAACAATGAGCCCACAGGTGAGTATTATGATGGCTCAGCTCAGAAGGTAGCCCACACATTAGGCCCAAATGCATGTTCTTATCTGCTCTTTCTCTAGGTAAGAGCTGATCAGAGCTCTGGGAGGTTTATACTCTCTAGTGCTGATTAGATCTTGGAACCATTAAGCAACAGGTCTTCTGCAATTCACAGTTCTCTGGATCAGGGTCAATGAAGACTATTCTAGGGCTGCAATCCTATACATACTTACCCATGAGTAAGTCCCTTTTGACATGAATAGGGATGAGTAAACACAACTAGGTTAGCACTGCTTGGGTTTTCACAAGAAAATATGGTAAACTAGAAGGCGGCTTTAAACAATTCTAGTGAAATCAACGTGTACCTTTTCTAAATAGCTTTTCCTGAGCCCAGTGAAGTAGAGGCAGAATAGAAACATGACATATACATAAAGCAATTGTGGACCTACATATATAAGTGTAGTGTGTGTGTTTTCCTATGTACACCCAGTATTACAAGCTTTGGGAAGGGAAGCTGCAGCAAATAAATGGAAAGCAAACAGGATTGTTCAATATTAATAATTACACAAAGGAGAGTTAGTGTCAAGTAATGGATAAGGCTGCAATCCTACCTTGCTGGTAAGCATCACTGCACATAGCAGAATTTACTTCTGAGTAAACATACCTAACATTGTGGTGCAAGAGGCTTGAGTTGTAAACAAGAAAATCCCAATTCAAATAAGGCCTCGGTCACAAAATTCTCTAAGGGCAGCGGGGGGATAAGCCAATATTTCTCTGCCTGAGTCCCTCAAAAATAATATGGTGACATACTGACCTACCTCAGAGAGTTGTTGTAAGGATTTCAGATAAATGTTTTGGTCACACTTATATAAATGCTATTACAAGCATCGCATGATTCCCCCCCCCCCCCCCAAGAAAAGTTACTTTGCGAGTGAAAATTGTAGCACATGAAGCCACCCTCCAAGCAGCCAGTGATGAAATGTTCTGCAGTTGGGTACAAGTTCCCAGCTGCAAAACACCACTTTTGAAGGACTCATATTTTAAATAAATAAATAAATAAATAATATGCTGCCCATCTGACTGGGTTGCCGCAGCCCAACAAAATAGTAAAAATGCTCAGATACCAGATACAACTAGGAAAAGTCTGGACACTTTGTTCTATGGTTTTAAAGAGGCATGCAGATTGGAAATGCCATTATAATCAATGGACTGGAGCCTCACTTTTTGCCCCATGGTCTTCCATGCCCAGAACTGGCTTTCCATGAAGAAGAAGCCCCTTCCCTTCATAAAGCAAAAAGTAAGGATCCCAGTCAATGTAAATTTTTCCAGTTCAATGCCCTGATTCAAACTGAAATTGAATCTCCTTGACGCCCGCAGAATTTAGTGCTAAGTAATACAGGAACAAAAGGAAAGTGTCTTATAATGAGTCAAACCATTGGTCCATCAAGTTCAGTGCTGTCCACATTGAACCTCTGAAGAACCGCTGCCAATCAGACATAGGACATTCCTAGCCCTATCTGGAGGTGCCAGAAACCTTCTGCAAAGCAGATGTTCCACCACTGAACTACGGCCTTAAATGCTTGAGCACTACAGATAATTGTAGGGATTGCAATCCCTATTTTCCAAGGAATAAGCCCTATTAGATTCTATAGGGCTAACTTCCAAGAAAATGTGCATACTAGTTTAAATCCAAGTAACCCTTTGGTTTAAACTCAGCTGTGGATTGGGGCCTAGTTAGGTTCCTAATGATAAAACTGCTATCTTCTTTTGGTTAAGATTTTCCACATTGGATGGAGTCCAAACCCATTAAATTCAATATGCGTTCTTCCATAGATCTTCATCCTAGATGCTGGCTAATTCTTCCCAGTGTGTTCCTGATTATTTAAGGTGTGTTGCAGTGGATTTCTACTTTGCACCCTAGTGGTAAACACATGGTTTAGAAGTAAATCCTACTGAACTCAACGGAATTTATTTCTGCACAATGTTCAGACTCAGAGTCCTCTGTTTGTGTATGCTCCACTAATCACACAGAGCTCCTGTGAGAATGGGCTTCCCTATACACTGAAGTGAATGAGGAGGCTCTTTGCACATGGATAGACGTACTCTCTGCTCAGTGAAACTGGAATATTATTATGGATGGAACTAATCCTTTGCCTGTGAGTAATCACTGAATCTGAGAAAAAGAATGAACAAGAAGCATGGCTTTCAATGGGGTACTATGTACAAGTATTCCTTTTGTCCCATTTTCACCTCTGGTTTAAACACTACAAAAGCCTGCTTATGAGAATTACAGTTTCAAATTGCTTTCTATTCTCTTAAAAACAGACTGCAATCTACCTCCTATCAAACTTCAGCAAGCCAACACCCCGCAGTGGGAATTAAGAAGAACTGATGTTTTCTATCGGGTGTGAGGATCAGGGCCAGCCTAATACATTTTCATCTTCCAAGCAGCTGCACCATGCAATCCAAAAGGAATGTCCCACAATCCCTTGCAACACCGCAGCTGCTCGCATTCTGAGAGTCATGTCCCAGAATCCTCTGCAGCACTGCAAGGGATTCTGGGTGTGTGTGGGGGGGGTCACCTCTCTGATCACAGACTGCTTGCTTAGCACCCCTAATAATGTTGCTACTCCAAGCAATTTCTTGTGTAGCCTAGTTAGGTGTGTCTGTCTGTAAAGCTCAATATTGGTAATAATAAGATTTTAGACTCTGTATTGAGGCCCTGCATGGGGACATAAAATGTCTCCTGACTTCATTTCAGTTCCTTTAGCAGATGCCTGATAAAAATCATTCCAAATGCAATTTTCTCCCCACCCTACGCTTTTACCCATCTTTGTCATACTGACGTAATTTTTTTTTCACACCGTATCATGTCCTAGAATCTTCCATTGTATCTCCCTAGACTCATTTCCTCCCACAAAGTCTACCCATCTCTTCTATTGTTAAAAGCTGCAGTGAATGGTTTAAAGCAGGATAATTCTGCCTGAATACTAGGCAACACCCAGAACAAAGCAGGAAAAGAAATCAGCCTCTACCCTAAATCAGAATTAACTAGCCCATCCAAGGTGGCATAGTCACAGCACATTGATCACTATTGGATTTATTCTATTTTTACCATCATTTGTATTTTCTCTTTCAAGAACAAGAAAGTCTGGAGAACTCTGAAGGCATTTACTCAGAAGTAAACTCCCCCAATTTCAGTGATACTTAGGCTGCAATCTTACCAAATGAGTTATGGCATAAATTGTGACACAAGGATTCTTAGTGGAATTGTTTTGGGCATTGTTCTAGAAGAGTTAAAACTTTCATTTTTTTAAAAAAAGAAGGACTTTGCAACATATATTTTCCAAAACAAATATTTAAACTGTTATATTTTTGGGAGACACTTTGTGCACCCAATCATTAGATGTTCTATTATCGGTACTATGAAGTTTAATCACTGAAAAACCATTCATAACATACCTTATTATTTTTAAGATCTGGTTTTAACACACTTAGGCCAGGAAATTGAGTTAAGGTTGAACTTCTGTCCTTAAATCACCTGGTTGGGCTTAAGTATTGCAGATGATATGGTCCCATATGAGCTGCCAAATGATGTAGGCATAAGGAAGTGAGTTAAGAACAGAATTGATTGGTAAATTCCTGTTGGCTTTTTGGTGAAAGCCAGCCCATTAATACTATGCAACTGTTGCACGTTATTATATAACCACATTTTTTAAAATCATGAAAACAAGACAAAAGCATCTATCGATCCATGGAAGTTCAGAAATATATGCTAGCCATGGCATGTAAAAAGAAAAAGAAAATGCAGACAATTGGGCTAAAATATACATTTGCACAAACTGTGCTAAAGGCTAATATTACAATATGCAAAAGCAATTTATGTAAATAGGAAATGTGCATTTCACAGGAAAAAACAGGGGCTAACCTTTGTAATATTTTATAGAAGTGTATATATTTAGAAAGGCGTGTTCATTTTAAACACTGCTACCCTCCAGACAATACTTCCAATAACTTTTTAGATTTATTAGACTCTCACCACCATATTTCAGCCCCACTGTACAACCCAGTAGAAGCAACACACCCACTACCAGGATCCTATTCACTCAGTTTAGTCTAATTGTTAGGATGATAATAATAATAATAATTTGGTGACAACTTGCAGATGCTGGTTTAAATGCCAATAAATTTAAGCATTTTAAGGATCTTGGGCATAAGCTTAGCGTCTGACATTGTGGTTAAATGGCTGAATTTGGTTATGGGAAACCCAGGCCATAAAGGAAGCCTAGCTGGTCATAAAGGTCAAAAGCGGGAGAGAGGGAGGCTTCCCTGTGCCTTCTCACTCTAACGCAGACTAAAAATTAGATGAATATTGGAAAGCACTTTGTGTATTGTGGGAAAGAGGTTGCAAACCACCACACAGCTAGACTGCTTAAATGCCACTGGCATCAGTGGAATACAAGTCTCTTAACTGTGAGTAGGATGGCAGCTAAGGTTTATAAAGCCCTCTGGAAAACCTATTAAAATTACTAGGAGCCTTTAGGACAAATTCATCCTATGATTTCTTACTAAACAACAACATAAGTCCTGCAAATATGGCTGTGAATAAAGTACTGCTTTTTTGAAGGGGCGGAAAGCATACTTCCATTTTTATTTTTTAGATCATGTATGTTTCTGTCACAGGATAGGCCATCTTAAAATAGGCATTTCATCCATTGTTCATGTGTGACAGAAGGGAGGAAGCCTCTTTGCAGGGATGCCTGCAACCTGCTTTGAAATGAGTTAATGCTAAGGGGACAATTTCCCTCCCAAATAATTGGGTATACCTCACTTGCAGTATCAAAAACTGCTTTTACCTTGATTTTTTTTTATTGTCCAATATAGCTACTGCTGCTAATACCACTGCTACTGATAATAGCCAGCCAGATCATCAATATGTATGCTTCTTAGCAAATGTCCACAGAGCAAGCAGCTCTGCGCTTAAAGATAACTGTGAGGCTAGCACAAATGGGCAGCTGTGGTAACCCTACACAATCGCCGTCTGTGGCTCCCTCCTGACTCCTTCCAGCACATGGGTACGCGTCTAGGGTCTTCAGATAGGGGTAATCTATGGGCACTGCTATCTCATACAAACCCTTAAGCTGCAACCCGAACCCCACTTACCCGGGAGTAAACCCCGACTGAATCCAGCAGGATTTAACTCCCGAGTATACGTGGTTTTAGGGTTTGCAGCCTAAAAGCATCGAAGTGGAAGGATCTCTGGTGGGGACGCGAGTTGACCTCCAGGTGTTTTAAACTCTGGGGCTGGGAGGGAAAGGGGGGCGCAGGGGTCTTAAGCAGACGTACAAAAACTTTGCAGGAATAACTTAGAGGAGCGTCGCGCTTGCCTTTGCGCGCACAGTGGCCCATTCATCGCAGCCGGGAACTGACACTTACGAGTTGCTGAAAAGCCGGTTGATCTATGTCACTCTGCAAGGCGAAGTCGCTGAGGACTTTCCAGGGCGGCTGGTAACTCTGCACCTCCACCGGGTTCGCCTGCAAGCCCCCGTCGTGTCTCTCCGGGCTGGCCGCCACCATGGGAGTGCCCGTCATCCCTTGGATGTTCTGTAAACAAGGCAGGCAGAGGCGGTGAGGGGCCGCGCCGCACAAACCGCGATTGTCTCGCGGCGCAGAGAGTCAATAAACTCCTTCTCGGGCTTATCAAACGCTCGACTCTATTGACTTTGTTAATCTGCCCTTCGCGGAATTTCGTGTGTTATTATTCTTAAAAACAAAACAAAAAAACACACCACCCACACCTCTCTTTGCTGAGTCGATTAGGCAAAGTAGATTAGGATCCGTTTCCAGTCCTGATACCTCCCGCACGCAGGGGAAACATGTCTATTTCCAAGTAGGAAAGGTGCATACTAGGACTCCATGTTAGGTTGCTTCTCTCTCAGGCAGTAAAGCCCAGTGATCTTAGTGGGGTTTTTGAATCAAGACATTTTGGATTGTCCTTGTTATCTTGAAGGTTTCCAATGAGGAAGAGGCGGGTAACTCCATGGGAACGCCACAGAGGAGGACAGGAGGCGAACAACCCCGGACAAATAGCACGCTCCCCCAACTGCTAATTACATTACTGGTACCCCACCTCCAACGACTTATTCCACATCTATTTATTGATCCCTCCTAATGCCGCCACACTGAATAACACACTTCTTCCCCCGATTGCTTAAGCACTGGAATTCACGTCCAGAGCGCAAAAGCTGGAGATCCGAGCACGAGATAGGAGCCCTAGACTAGAGCATGGGACAACTCTAGAGCCAGCAGCTTGACGGCCTTCAGGATCACAGTGTGGGCGGGAATACATACACACCACTCATATTTACCCAGGGGTAAGTCTCGCTGACTGAAAGGGGAGTTACTTACACACACGCCTGCGTCGAAGCCTGCCTTAACGCGTGAGAAAATGCCACCGAGGGTTACTCAGGTCCCTTTGAGCGCTATGGAGCTTACTCCCAGGTAAGTGGGGTTAGGACTGAACCCTTTCCTGTGAATAGTTAGTAGTGGTGATATACACTCCGGGTATTTTCCTCGTGGTTAAGGGAAGTAACTCCTGGAGGTTGACAAAAGTCAAGCCGAGTTGCTCTACAACGCCGCGTATTTCAAGCGGACCTCATTTCGGAGTAAGCCCATGATCCGGAGTTGGCATTTTCTTTCAAGTAAACATCATGCCTAGGCACCATTGATCCTCTAAGTTTAGGTGCGACTGCAATCGTTCACCGGGATCCCTAGGCCAGTTGAGCAGAAGAATTGGGACTGAAGCCGATTCAGTTCCACTCGCTTCCTAAGGACACAACCGGTTTAGGTCCCAGTCCAACCATTTCACAGAACTGTAGCCTCTTGAGAAAGTTCGGGAGATTCGTCTCACTTTTCGCCCCGGCATCGACAAAACATTGAAATGGTCTTCCAGTGAGACTGAACTTTCCAGGAAAACGTGATCCGGAACGAGGATAATTTCCAAGGATCCCTGCTTATTTAGGTTTGACTGAGCTCACCCTTTCCTGGCTAACCACCACTATACTTTGTGGCAACGAATCGGGTGGGGAGAAATAAACTCTGCAGGTATTCTAAAGGCTTTGTGTCCAAAATAGCTTCCTAAGTCGGAGCAACTTAAAACACTTCAAACTGGGGTTTATTACATTCCACCGCGGTAATACGCAACGCTTTAAACTTCCACTTAACCAGATAAGCAGTCTTAACAAACATTAATAGCTGTTCCTTTAAGCAACACAACAATGGCCTCGGCATCATCAAGGCCTAAAAGGCAACGGATCGGGTGAGAGCGGTTGTTTTGAAATATCTGCTCCCTCGTCATTCTCATCTGCCGAAACTGTTGTGTCGCTAGTGCTAAAGTTCGATCTCATTGGATTTTAAAAACCAGACCTTAAGTCTGTTTACTCGCAAGTAATTCTCGTTCCGCCCAGCTAGACTTCATCCTAGATCCACTTACCTAGGAGTAAGCCCTACTGAATGCCGTAAGACTTGCTTCCGAGTAGACATGTATTGGGCAGTGTTGTGAGCATGCATAGGATTGGAGCCTTACGTGAGTATCTGGCTGAAATCCGGTAGTTGGGAAGGACACATAACTGCCTAGGCAACTAGCAGCAGAATTTTCTTTCTTACGAGTAAACCATGTATAGGATTGGTCCGCCCGACTTTCAGGTCTAGAACCAAAAAGTGTGGCAACAAAATAGGTCAATCCTACACACGGTTACCCGGAGTATGGCTGTAATAACCTTAATGTTAATATTAAGAGTAAGCCAAACTGAATTCAACAGGGGTTCCTTCTAAGTAGTCATAGTTAGGATTACGCTGTAAGCCTCAGGGGGTTCCAGTTGGACTTACTCCCGAGCAAGCTTTAATTTCATCGAGTGCACCACTATGCGTTTTGACATGCACACACTTACTAGGTAATAATTGAACGTAGGAGGGATTTACTTTCGAGTAAATATACGTAGGAGTTCACTGCGAAGTTCTATTGAATTCAATTGGTCTTCATCGCATTTTTCTTTGAAATCTGCTTGCCAGAACTCGACAATAACTAGGTAGGACTATAGAAGCCCACTCTATTGATTTCAGTACACCTATTCGAATCGTCTTACATCCGGCAAGTCAGTTGAGAGCCTTTTAAAAAAGGGATCTATCCCGTCCCTCCTCCGACCTTTACCCACCACCCCCACAAGAAAGTAGGAATTAACCACAGACTGATATCTGTCTCTGGAAGAGCCCCAGCGTCTTCAGTAGAACTACTCTAGAGTAAGGCAGTTTGTAAAGTCACTGTAACATGTACTTAAAAAATTTAAAACGGGGGTGCTGTGGAATATCGAGATGTTGTTGCGGGATTTCTCCCTACAATTGGACCATTTATTTGGCAACAAAAAGTAAATAAATGCGCACAATCAAGAGTTCACGGACCAGTTCCCTAAACCCAGCAAGCTATTGAAGCCCTGCCCCAATAAAACCCAGACCCCTTTCTAGAAGCGTGCTACTTCCACAGGCCAGCATTCAACAGGTGAAGCGTCCCCTTATCTCTCTGTTCGATTGCTGTGAAAGGCACAGAAGAATGGGGACCTTCTCTTTTTCTGCTGGCTACAGGGAGCCCCGCTAATTGCCGTTCTTGACAGACACACTCATCGGACAGTAATACACACATGCGCACGAACCTACCCCCCCCCCAAGCAAATCAAAAGAACCAAGGCAAGAGAACAGCCAAGGCACGCCCACTAACCAAGAAAGTTTTTCCTTCGGGAACTGGCGCCCCCTAGAGGCCAGGAGGAAAGACCGCGGCAGCCACTCACCGTCTTGTCGTTGGGCTGCTGCTGCTGGAGCTGCTTCATCATAATGCTCCTCTTTTTGTCCTTGCAGCGCTTGTTTTGAAACCAGACCCGGATGACCCTGGGGCTGAGGCCCGTCATTTCCACCAGCTGCTCCTTCATGAGGGCGTCGGGCCTGGGGTTGGCGGCGTAGCAGGTCCGCAAGGTGTGGAGCTGCTTCTCGTTGAGGACGGTCCGGACGCGGGTGGTCTTCTCCGGCTGCTTATGGACGTGTGGCCTCAGAGCCGGTTGCCTGGCAGAGATAGGTTCTGCTGTGGGGGGTGGGGGGGGGGAGGAAAAAGAGGAAGGAACAGGAATCCCGTAAGTGGCGGGGGAGGGCGAGAAGATGCTGACACGCAACTTCCTGGGGGGCCAACCCCGCAGGGATCATCACTACCTGGACGCCCATCCATCCATCCATCCATCCACCTTACTTCAGGAACCAACGCTATTGCAAACAATGGGAATCGGGGACACCTCTCTGTCAAGCCCCTCCACTTTTTATGGATCCCCTTAATCCTCCACATTCTCACAAGCGCCTTTCTTGTTTTCCCCGTTGTCTCGATTGGAAGCTCCTCGCGGACAGGGGACTGTCAGCGGAGGAGCTGCTGTCCAAGGTACTCTATATGGCGCTCTCTAATGAGCGGCGACGATTGGGACCCTCAAGCCTTCGGATCTCGGAGGTGAGGGAGCAATACTCATTCTATTTTGTTGACTGGAGGAAATCGCCAGTCGTCCAGTTTCGGTGGGACGTCTTGCCGGCCCACCTCACCGGGAACACCTGCGCAACCCGGTAGTTTCTCTCCCCGTCCACCCCGCGTTCCCCATACTGCTTCCAAGGGTCTTTCCTCAGCGCGCAAAGGAGGCTGAGCTCTCAAACGTGCACGGGGGAAGGAAATTCAGCTGGGGAAAAAAATCAGTGGCGTCGATTTTTCCACTTCAATATATTTTTGGATTGTGGAAGGAAGCAGATAGTCATATAATCTAGGGGCGCCATTTCACAATTCTCGAGGAAGAATCACCAGGGCTTTGGAAGGAGCGCGGAGGCGGCTACCACCAAGACCTCCCTCCCTCCCTCTCTGGCGCCACTCACTAGAATCTTAAAGCTCAAACGGATCAATTGGCCACCTAGTCCCTCACCTACCCTGAACCATCTGCCACTTCCGGGTTAATGGATACAACAATGCAAGCCACAGCAAACAACCCAATTGCCTCCGTCGAAAACTCTCCCCCAGGTCCTGTTTATCTATTGCTATTAGCACCTCCTGGATTCTCCTCCTGTCCCATGCACCATTACACAGGCTTTCTTTCTACAGCTCCGGACTTTCAACGCCTCCCTCCCTCCCCCCCCCCCCAATTTAGTTGCATAAAAGCCTGCTTTTAATAGCCCGATTCTAGGCATGTTTAGGTGGAAGGAAGGAAACCTCCCTATAGCCAATGGGGCTTGCTTATCCAGATCTAAATGAACACAAAACTGCAGCCTAAAATGTGAAACGGTGGGGTTTTATATCGAATTTTAAAATGAGAACTAATAAACATGTGTGTACTAATAAGCAGTGACGGGGAAAGTGAGTTTGCTGAATTATATAGTTTTAAAGTGGGTGAGTCTGTGAACGCTGTCAAAAGAACACACCGCTAGAAAATCCAGAGCAAAATAAATGTTCCAACAGTTTCTCCTTTAAAAAATGCAACTGACACACTTAAGGCTGCAATGCTATGAACAGAGATTGAACATCACTGAAGACAGTCAAACTTTCTTCCAAGTAAACAGCCAAAGAGGTTGCTCTATAAAACACTCTCTCATTGGAAGGAAGGTTGCAGTGCCATTCATTGGTGAATGGAGTTTACTCTCAGGTAAGTACACAGTAGATTGCAACCTGAGCTACTTTCTTTGCAGAAAAGTCCAAGTAAATGTGTTGAGAAAAATGTACTCTAATGCAGCATTCTGAAGTTTGCTTTCTTGGAAGCAGGTGCCACTGAAATTAGTAGAACTTCCTTCTGAACATTTATATGTTGAAATAATTTCTACATCCCCCATCTCTTTTTTTGCCTCAATATCAGATAACACATATAAAAAGACACAATTCAAAATACAAAAAATGCAACCATGTATCAAACAAAATACTTGAGCTAATATTTTTAGAATGAATTCTATGGGATTGTATCTAGAAATGCAGAGTTACTGGGGAGGGCAGAGATAATCTGATGGTTTCATTGTGCTCCACATTTTTGACTTGCTTTTTTCATAACACTTTCTCCCCTTTCAAATTAGTCACTGTTTTGTATTTGGTATAGCAAGGAAGACTCTACAAGAAGTGTGATTTCAGATTTGGAGGCACACAAAACATCAACTTGTTAAACCCTTACTGCTCATTCTCATCTATTACTTGGAAGGAAAGGTTTTTGAAATCTAGTTAAGACTATGGGACTTGCTTCCAAGTAAAGTGCAACAATGGACTCTGAATTAGGAGTCCAACGATGATGCTTAAACCTCTTATTAAAAACCAAGGAAAGATTACCCTGGATTAAGTTACTAAAGACTGGCACTGTAAATAGTGTTCTTGCTGTCCCCACTCCCATGATAGGGCAGAAGGGAGAGAAGAGCAGAAAGACTTAAAAGTTACAAGCTCTTGACTGGGAATTCTCCAAGCCTGTCTTGTTTTGTTTGCCCTGATAGGGTGGAAAAACAAATAAGGCCCATTCCCAGAAGCCTAGACAGGGCAGGCAGCAAAGAAGTGGTCCTGCAATGTTTCAAGTCAAAAGTAATCCTAATGAAAAAGTAAAGCCAGCTCATGGGTCGACACTAAAGTTTTCGGCTTGAAAATCTCACCCAAACCACAGAAAGCTTCAGGAGGAGAAGGCCGAATCCCTTAGAAGGCCAATTACTGAAGATTAGCTTGTTGACAGTTTTAAATTACAGCTTGAAGTGGTGCCTGTAGTTATTAGTCTCTCTTTTTGGAAGCTGGCTCCCCCTCCACACTGCATAACCACCCCCCCATCCCATGTTTCATTCAGAATATGCCTTGCTGGGAAGAGCCTAAACTCATTGAATAGCATTGCCTCATCTGGATAGGGGGACCCATTTCTGCCTCTCTGCTCTCCCCTGCCCTATTTTTTTTTTATTTCCTGTTTCCCACATTAATTATCCTGCTCCCCCCCTTGCTTTCCATATTTTCTCAGGACATTTCTAATGGGGCAGCAGGATCATAAGCATCTTTACTTAGAATAAAGACCTAAGTGCAACAAAAGGACACAACATCTGAATCAATTGTGCCCTCTGTAAAAGTTCCTTGCAATGCAAGGTACACTGCTGTTATCTTCTCTTTCCCCCCACCTCTACTGTTGTGATCTTTGTGTACTTCTCTGTCTGCTCCTTCCTCTTGCTTTGGAAAGATAGATTGCTGTGATTACCCAGCGCACATACCTGACAGTGAAAGCTACGTACACAACATATACATAAATATTTCTTATTTATATTAAGCCACCAGGAGACTGAAAGTATATTACTTCTTTGGCAATTCAGTCGTAGTAGAGCACACTACTCTGCCTGCCCTCTGTACTGTGGCAGACTTCATATCTTTTTCAGATCAAAGGAGAGGAGGAATTATCTCCCATAAAACAACATGGTCCCATACACCAGCTTACTTCCGCTGATTATAACAAAGTTTGCTCTCCAATATAATCCCAAGCATGTTTACTTAGAAGTAAAAAAACAAACAAATACCCCACACAGTTTAATGGTACTAAAGGAGCAACCCTATACACAAGAAACTGGCATAAAGCCAGCCAGTGTGAATTAAGCTAGGATAAAATACACCAGATCCAAACTTCATTCAGGATGGGGCTAATGCTGACTGAGATGGCCTAAAGCAGGCAGAGGGAAAACAATAAAGTATGGGTTAAACCACCCTTTCTGCTGGTTTAATTTACACCAGGCTGCCAGGTCATGTGACTGAGCTTGATGGGTATAGGATCCATTCTAAATCCCCTTTTTCTGGTCCCACCCCCCTCTGGAATGCCCCCTTTTCAGGCCTTATACTGGCACAGCTGGGGAACCCCTGGATCCTAACCCCACCCATCCCAGAGGGTCCCATTATAGGATTGTTCCCTAAAGATGCAACCCTATGCACACTTCAAGTGTGTAGTATCGCAGCCTAACGGTGCCAAACATGTCTGCTCAGAAGTCAATCCTATGGAATTCAGTGGGACTTAGTTCAGGATAGAAATGCAGAGGATTGCTCTATGCATTTCAAAGAAGGGGTTTAGGGCAAGAGCCTTGATTGGATTCACTCATCTGCTTTTGCTCTTGACAACACTCATGTCTTGGACCTAAATACACAAGCTGCATTGATATCAATGGAAGTTCCTACTAAGATTGCATTCCTATGCATATTGACTTGGAAATCTGTTCCATTAAAATTATGGAACCCTTTTGAATGAACATGGATAAATCTGAGCTGCATCCAAGGTTTAGGGATCAGGGTGCAAAGTTGTTTTACCAATGGATGTTTGCAAAAGTAGAGTTTTGGGGGTATTTTAAAGGAGATTCTAAGCAAGTGAGTTTCACTCAAACCCTTTGGACCATGCGAGTTAATGGCTGCAATCAAGGGGAAGTTAAAGAGGTGGGAAGCTGCAATCCTAAGCGTGCCTACTAGAGAAAAAAGTAAGCAAACCCTGAGCAAACATTCTTAGGATCCTGGCAGGAAGTCTCATTGCGCTACAGGGAGTTTACTTCCGACGAGCTCGCTACCGGTTTGGGCATCATCTCCCAGCAAATTTAAGCAAACTCCTTTCCTTTTATTTCAACGAACGGCTCATCTCTGTTGCTGAGCTGCGCTTGGTGGAGATAGTCAGGAAGAGTGCAATCCTTTACACGTCTGCTCAGAAGTAAGTTCTCCCCCGAGTTCAATGGGGCTTACCCCTAGGTAAGTGGGTGTAAGATACCCCGCAAGCGGCATCCTCTCATATGTTTACTCGGGAGTAAAGTGTTCAGAGGTCTGCAGATTTTGAGCATGTGTGTGTGTGTGGTTCTGCTTCTTAGTGTCACTGCCATCGGAAGCACGGGGATCTCGTGAGCCTTTTCTCCAAAACTCTCTCACCTCTGCAAAAAAACAAAACTAACCTCTGCGAAGCTGGTATCAAAATGAATACGGGGCTGGGCACATCTAGGAGGTATTATTAGCCACTGATGGCCGGGAACCGCGGGTGGGGAGGCAACGGCAGAAGAGCTTGGAGTGGGAGAGAAAACACATATATGGAACAAAGGCCCGGAGGGACCCTCCCTCCCTTGCCCTCCCCCCTCCCCTGCCCTCCCCGAAGTCTCTGGGAGGGGGGACCAGGAAGTACCTGCCATCTGCAGCGGCCTGGCGGGGTGCAAGGGGCTGAGGGGGTCCCCAGCTCCGAGGCTGGCCCTTTCCACTACGTCGTGGTCCGCCCGGCAGAAGAGGCCGTCCTCCCGCAGCGCGAACTCGTCCCCGGGGATGAGCTGCCGGCTGCAGGCCACGCAGCGGAAGCACTCGATGTGGTACACTTTGGAGCGGGCGCGCATCACGAAGTCGTTCTTGCTGAAGCCGATGTTGCACTTGGCGCACTTGATGCCGTATAGCCTGAGCCCAGGCCCCGTCGAGGAAAGGGGTGGTGCGGGGTGGGATTGGGGATAAAGGGGGGGGGGGAGAGAAAAGAAAAGAATACGGAGGTGGGGTGAGGAAGGAAGAGAAAGAGAGAGAGAAAGAGAGAAAGATTTCACTCCGGCTGCCCCGTCGAATCAAGCCAGTCATTCTTTCATTCACGTTCCAGCCTCCCACGTTAGACAGCAAGCCCAGCACGCCTTCCAGGTCGCCCGGTCTACCTCTGGCAAACCAGAAGCTCGCGAAAATAGAAATCGGAGCGAATTCGGTTCCTACCGACTTCCCAATCCTAGTGGCTTCTGAAATTGTACCGTGTACGCGCTCGGACCTTGCAGCAGCGAAGGGGAAGTGTTTTAAAAAATAAATAACCGTACATGCATTTGGGTGTTGATTGGTTTATTATTATTATTATTATTATTATTATTATTATTACTATTATTAGAAGGGTGGGGCTTTTTCTGTTTGTTCTCTTTCGCGGTCTCTTTTGGAGGGGGAGGGGAGAAAATCTGCCCTATGCACAGAATGGAAGAAACGAGGGTGGCTGAAACTTCACAGCAACCTTTAAAAACCAGGTTAGAAAAGGGGAAAGTCTAATTAGAACAGCAAGATGTGGGGGGTCAATGAGCAACGGGGGCTGCAATCCCGCGAGTTCGCCCCGTGGAGTGCAACGGTGCTTACTTCCGAGTAAACGTCTCCAGCATTGGAGTCACTTTTTTATATATACTTCTGAGATAAATAATAATGCAACCCATCCTGGTCCTGGACAGGGTGACTTTGGAGAAAATCCCACTGACTCCCTTCCTTTTAAAAGAGTCTTTAAAAGATTGCAGTTTTTAAAAAGCCGCTTCTGTGTCTCGTCACACCAAAAACAGAACCAAATATTCCCAAAGAGAAAATGGCAGCTTACCCTTTTATACAATGAAAAGAGGAGGAATCGTGACGCTTAGGGAAACTTATTCCGGGGGCGTCCACTTTTATTGGGAGTTTATTGGGGGCTAAAATGCAATGCTGGAACCAACCCTGCCCTCCAAAAACCGCTCATCAAAAAGGAAGGAAAAGGCTAAACTCGACTCTTAAAATATAAACAATCAAATACAAAACTCAGGAGTAAAACAGTGGATCTGGAGTCAGTGAATCGCGGCCACCAATATCCTAAGCCCTCTTGCAATACTCAGAGGCAAAACCTTCGGCCTGCCTTTGCTTCCGCATCTTTACGCTCCCGGCTCTGCCTGTTTACTTGGGTGTAAGTCAAGTTCAAGGGAACGCTCTCCCAGATCGCTACTAGGCACTGCAAAGGCTTTTCCCAGAGACGAAATATCTCCGGGAAGGAACAGGCGTGTGGCCGCGAATAAACCCGCTGCACTAAATGGTTTTATTTGGACCGCTTGAGCAGCTGTTTTACCCGCCCCTTCCCCATTTCCCCCCATATAACCGCCCCCCCAATAATCTTAACTGCCAGCAACTCCTGGTGATCTTTGAAAGAGCCCTCTTGAAATCAGTGAGAAATTGCTTCAGAATAGTAAGTTTCCCAAAGTAAGACTGGGGCAGAGAGAGCCTATCTATGCACGTCTACCCAGAAGCAAGTCCAATCGAGTTCAGTGGGACTTACTTCCGGGGAAATGTGTGCAGGTTTGCAGCCTAAGGGCGACGTCCGCCTTCTGTTCCAGAAACACCACCACAAATCTACAGAGAACTCTCAGTAGCGCTGAAAAGCTCCCGCAGACCACGAATGAAGACATAGAAGGTCGCTTTTCTGTAGAATTCAGAGTTTATAAAGACAGAGTCTTCGGCTAGGCTTTGATATGGCTTCACATTGGACCCATATGTACACATACAGATAATCTACATATGTTGTTGATGTGTAAGTCCCTCCTCTTAAAAGAAGAATACAGAGGTGGTGGCGCGGAAATAGGAGGAAAAGGCTTAATTTTAAAAGTTCAACTCTACCCTGAGTCTATGATTCCATAATTCTACCCGCTTCTCTATTAGTATCTCAATCTCAGGCTAAAGAATCAAAGCCCGCCCCCCCCCAACTCGCTTCTGCCCCAGCTAGACAAGGACACGAAGGGCCAACTCAGGCGCCAGTCGGGAAAGCGTTCCTTCTGAGCCAAGGCAAGTAAATCCTGTTTGAAAGACGGCGGGCAGCAAAAGGCTGAGATCCCTTCGCACACGGACTTGCATGAAAGGAAGCCCTGATGCCCATCAATGGGATTTGCTTTCCAAGTCACTCTCTCTAAAGTTGCCATCCTAAACACATGTTCTGGGGAACTAAAGCCCCAGTGTCGAGACAATGGCGGTTACTTCTGAGTAACGCAGTGGTTTACAGTCGGGGTGCGGGGATCACCTCGTGAACAAATAATATATAATATAAATTCTTATTATTAGTATTAGTATTATGGCGGTCCTAGCGTTTTCTTCTATATATATATTGAAAGAGAGGGAGGGAGCATGGGATCTTTCACCATGCTTTCACTTCCGAGCACCTGATTCTCGGGGAGCTGGGAATCAGGTTTGCCAAGGGATCCCTCCTCTAGACCGAAGCCAGCTGAACAGCCGGGTCTGCTGGACAAAGGCGAACTCGAAGCAGCAAGAAACTCGGTCTCGCCTCGTTGCCCGACTTTCTCGGGAGTGGGGCGGGGGAGGGCTCTCAGGATTGCAGCCGGGCAACTCTGTCTCCTCAGCAAGGAAGCCCCACGGATTTCAGGAGGACTGGCCTCCGGTTAGGAAGCTGCACTTTGAGAACCGCGGAGGGCTTCACAAGGATCCTTCCGGCTGAGTGAAAAGAGACTGCCCAAGAAATTGTTGTTGTTGCTGCTGCTGCTGCTGCTGCGTTCGCCTAAAGCCGCGCGGAAACTTCTCTTGCCATTTCCTTGCCAAGGGACCTTACGCAGGAGAATTTCCAAGTGGATCCTCTCTCCCCTTACCCCTTCACCCGGGCTTAGGGTTGCCCAACCTTTGCCCCCTCTGCAAAGATCAAATGCAGCAAAAAGGACACAGTAGCATAGCGCCATCTAAGTCAGACTCCCTAAAAAAAAAAGCTGTTCAAAAAAGGAGCCCCTCCCCTTTGCTCCCCCCTCTTTAAAAAGAAATAAAGGTTTCCTTATAATGTCAGCAGCGGCCAATTGTACCCCCCCCACACACACACGTGTGTGTGTGTGTGTGTGTGTGTGTGTGTAATCAGCTCTCAGATTTTCATGCTAGGTAGGAAGCCGTTCCATTATCTAAATGTACCGATTGTTCGCCCACAGATGAGGGGCAATTTGATCTCCTCTGTTCAATTCATCAAGGCAGATAAGATAAGGAAAGAGAGTCAGTCCGAGCGCGCCCAAAGGGTTAATATTTTAAAAGATTAAATGTCATGTTTAGGGTTTGTTTTTGTTTTTGTAAAGCCCCCCAGTCGAAGAAACCGCCCTGCATTCAGGAAGCAGAAGGGGACTATTAATTATTATTACCACTAATAATCATCATCATATTTGTTTACCATGCTTTAAGGAGCCATGGGCTGGCCTGAGAGGAGGAGTAGGAATGGCCTGTTTTAACTGAGCCCGTGTTGCTATTTTCCTGTTGTAACATAGTTTTTTTTTTTAAATATATATATAAATGTAAATTTAAATCTATATGTAAATCGTACACGCAGTCATGCAGCTGGGAAGCAAGCAGGCCTGAACGCCACCACTTAATTTCAATTATACTGATATTAGTTAGAGTTGAATGGAGGAAGCGTTGGGGGCGCGTAGTTTAGAGAAAGGCAGTTTGAGCCAGCTTAAATGGCAACATATTGTCGCTGCCGCTCCCCTCCCCCGCAAAAAAAAAATAAAAAAAAATACACACATTACCACATTTGCAACAATCGAAGAAGGTACTCACACCTAGATCTCACACGCATCTTCTCAGAAGTAACTACCACTAATTTCAATAGCCCTTACCGCCGAGAGGCACCCAGCTTCTAAGATCTTTACCTGGAGGTCAGATCGGCGGATTACTGAGAAATCTTGCGAGTAATTTGCCAGTATGGATTTGTATACCTTTCCTTAAAAGCAAGTCTATCTGATGAGGAAACCCGTTTTTCAAATTACTTTAGATTTGCACCCTCGCAGACTATTTATTTTACACATTTGCTCACAAGTGTCAGCCCAAACTTACTTAGGAAAAAAAGAGAGAGTTGAAATTGTATTATTTTTTTCTGGAGGGGGAGAAGAATTTACCTCTCAACTGTATGTACTCAGTGATAAGACGCAATTCTCTCTCTCTTTTTTTCCTCCAGTGAGCTTGCACTGCAATCCTAGTTAATTTCCCACTGAACTCAGTAGGGCTTGACACTCGATAGGAACGGAAGGCGCTTGTACACACGCCTAAATAATCTAACCCCTTAACACATTTTCTTGGCACTAATAGGAAAAAACACACACTTACCTCCAGGTAAGCGTGTTTAGGAGATCGCAGTTTCATTTCTTTTAAACGGGGAAGAGGAATTTAAAGAATTGGGGTTTTTGTTTTTGTTTATGTTTTTACTCTCCCAAACCTTATACAGATAGAAAATAAACAAGGCTCAACTGGAACCGTCTCTAACTGCGACGCGACCGAAGGAGCGGAGGAGAGGAAAGGGCAAGCTCCGTACCTGATATAGTCTCTCTTACAGTAGGTTTTCCCATCCCTAACAAAGCACGTACAAGTCTCGTCCAAATATTGGTTGCATTCTGCGCACTTCAAGCAGGCCGCGTGCCATTCCAAATCCGGGGAAACTCGCAGAATATACTGATCGTGGATTTGATTGCCGCAACCGACGCATAGGGAAATCAGCCGTTTTTCTGAAAGGCAAATAATAAAAGACATGATTGACTGACCGTTTGCTCTCCTACGGCGATAAACACACTTTATTAGTGTCGATCACCCGCGTAGGGCTGCTACTCTTTGGGAGCGCGTTGCCGCTGCTGCTGCTGCTGTTGTGGCGTTATATGGGGGGGGGGGGAGGAAGAGAATGATCGCAGAGGGTGTGAGAAAGATAGAGAGTGTGTAGCATTTTAGGGTGGTAATTGGAGCGTGTGCCATCAAAGGCTTCCCTCATTTAGAGAGGAGGCGGAACGCGCATTCAAATGAAGGCTGGCAGAATTCTAGAACGCGCACATTTTACGCACCTTCCAACGCAATCAAAACATCCCCTTTTGACAATTTGTTCTTTTGGAGGGTGGTGGTGGTGGTGGAATGAAGGCATGTGTGTGGTGTTGTTAATTTTGTACCTCCAGATTCTGAACAGGAGAAAAAGAGGGGAGCTGGTGGACTGGGAAACAGAACACGCCGGTGACGCTTTCTCTCTCTGCTCTGCTCTTAGGAGTTTGATGCAACCGGCAGGCTTTGGTTTGTCAATTCCATTCCTTTTGCCAATTTCAATCCCTCTTTCGCTAAAAGGTTTGTTCACTTCTGTAGGGCGGGGGTCCTAAAGGCCGACCTGGAGCGCTGGATGCTTACCTCCACCGAGCTAAGAAACCCATTCTTTTCCAAAGCAGCGCGCTTATTTAAAGGGTAGCAACCCACACTTCCCACGCTTTAAATCATCTGCTACGGGAGTATGAATGGATCCAGTTGCACTCCTGGCCCCCAGCCCCGCCGCCGCCGCAACCCCCCCCCCCAACACTGCGATTCCTCAATACATTTAAAGGAAATCCAATCCTATTGTTCGGGGGTTTGTTTTTTATTTTAAGGGAAACGGACTTCCAGCAAATGTCTCCAGGATTTTAGCACCGGAGCGGTCGCCCTGAACTGGAGTCATCTGCCTCTGACGCCCAACCCCCGTCCATGGCAGCTACCCCCCAATCCTCCTTTTCCACACTCTCGCCTCTTCCTTCACGACTTTTAAGCCAGAGGCTCTTCTCCCAAGCCACCGAGATCGCTCCGGAGGCTCCGACACCCCACCAGGCGAAGCGGCAGCCCGCCAGAGGCTGCGTCCTCCACCGCTCCCGCCTGCCACCGTGGGAAGAAAGAGCTCGTCCTCCCGCTTGCCATATGACCACTGCTCAAGAATAACGAATAACGTCTTCCTTACTTTTCGGTGGGTCTCCCATATCTCCCATATCTGTAAGAGGGTATAATGTCCACAGTGAAATGGTGCACGGTTGCGATGGAGCTTCCCAGAGGTAAAAAACAAAACACAAACACACAGGGAAAAAAACAAAACAAAAAGGAGACAAGCTGCGCCTTCTTGGAAAGCGGGAGATGCTGTCAAATGGAAAGGAAGAGAGAGGCTGCTTGTTCAGTCGCTCTGAGGATCAGTCCAAGGAGCTGGGATCAAATTGGTTCCTTTATTACTAGGGTGATGTTGATGAGGAGCCTTTTAAAAGGAAAAAAGTCGGGGTCGGGGAGCGAGAGACAGAGAGAGAAGGGAAAAGAGAGAGAGCGAGAGAGCAGAAAACGCTCCGCGCACCCGCACAGGCCAACTCCGGATCGGGAAGCGAGTGGCAGAGGCGCTGCAGTGTGCGGGACTCAGCGCGCAGCGGCCGCCAGCCTCTTCCTTATCTCTTACTCAAACTTCTCTGCTCCAACTCAGCTCCATCGCCATTGGTCGACGTAGGCCTCGGGGACGTCAAACCAGCTCGCCGCTGATTGGACGCAGGGAACACAGAAGCAGCTGTTCTGATTATCATATTTCAGTGGCTGCTGTAGCCTTTGCTGGGAGGAGAGGGAGGGGGTGCTTGGAGAAAACCCGGGCAGAGCCAGAATTTTTTTTATTTTTATTTTTTTTTTAAAAAAGCTGGACTTGGAGAGAGAATCAGAGGCAACTTTTACACTCCTCATTTGATTTCCTCCCCCCCCCCCTTATAACTCTCCCTTTGCATTTTCGGTTCCACACTCCTCCCTTTCTTTTGGTACCCTAAGGCAGGCAGCTGTCTTTCAGCGCTCTCTGGTTTTAGTGATTCTTAACCTCCCTTTTTTAAAAGAAAGAAAGAGGAAGAACTGAAACGTTGATTTCTCTTAACTATCCCCCCCGCCCTCACGGAAAAAGGAAATTGATCAGGCGTGCGGTCAAATATTGGGAGGGGGGGAAGGAGGGATGGATTAAAAGCCATGCAAATCTGTGTTATGCCGCCAAAAGGGGGGCAATAAAGGCTTAGCTGCTGATAGATTTCGCAAGCTGTACTTTTTTTTTTTTAATTATTCTTTCAGACGGGGAATCGAAGCGCCAGCGAGGCTTCTGTTGATGGAGGCGTTGACCTCGGGTAGGAGCTGTCTATAAAGGCTTCTACATTCCCTCCCCCCACTCGAAAAGAATTATTTGTGTCCCCTCTTCTCCCGCTCCACAAATTCGTGACATATATTCTCGGAGAACTATTGACTGCAAAGCGCTTGCAGGAGTTTAGCAATAGAGGGCCACTGCCATCTTAGAGCTTCGGTGCTACGCTCAGTTACCTGGGAGTAAACCACACTGAATTCAAGGGGATGTAGTTCTCACCAGACGGGTAGGAGAACGCTGCAAGCGCTTTACTCCGAAGTTACGGCTCAGTGGAGTTTCTATGTAAGCCGTAGTAGCAAAGGAGTTTTGAAATTGCTAGTGCTCCTCTGTGGTATATGGAAAATAAAACTGATAGCTGCTTCTTTATGATGCTGCCATGACTTTCTTGGAGAAGGAGTTGGGGTGTGTGGAATCTAATCACCACTATCACTCTGCTGTGAAATCGCTAGAGAAAGAGTAACGAAAATGTAATCACTACCACCGCACCATTCGCAGTAGTAATAACATTTCCTCTAACTGCTACCACTAGAAACTGAAAAGCACTTTCAAGCTGCCAGTTCCCGTGAAAGTTTCTGCTAGTTTTCCCCCCTCTTCATTTTGGACAGATGGAAAGGCATTGCAAGGCCTCTGGGTGCCTACAAATCTAGTGGGAGCCCGGAATCCTTGACTTTACCCTCAGTTTTTACGCTAACATGGCTGTCACCTCCTCTTCAGGACATTCACTTGCGAGTAAACCCCATTGATGGAAAAGACGTCTGTCGTGATTTCTTCGGAGTTCAAGCAGCAGGAAAGCGAAGATAACTCGAGTTGCGGATCAGGCGATAGGCAGATAGTAAGGAAGAGAAATAGAGCATTCGTCTGATTCTTGATTGCGCCAAAGTTAGCTTGGCTTCCTCAGAGTCAAAGCAAAGCCTGTTTGAAACCCCATGAAAAACGTCCCCTCTTCCAAAATATAAAGGGACCACGCATCTATTGACCTCAACGGGGCAACTTCCTCCTGTTTAGTAGTTCACTGGTGTGCAGTTTAGCAGTTCACTGGTGGTATTATGGCACGGCAGAATCACCTAGTCCGTGTTTGCAGTTTCAAGCTTCCTTCAGCTCCCAGGCACAAGCGTTGTGGGCTGCTACACCAGCTCACTCTGCCCCCCCTCCCCTCGCCCATTCACTTCAGCAGAGATTTTTGTTGGGGTGGGGTGGGGGTGGAGAGGAGTGCTGTGTCTTTAGATAGAAAGCGGCATTTCCTTCCTCAAACGATGTGCCAGGATCCCAGCCTGATTGACGGGAGGCGGGACGCTTCTATTTCACTCCTAACATTTGGAAATAAAAAGATCCGAAGTGTATTTAGAAGATAACCTCCCCGCCCATTCAAAGCCCTTCAGAGGAGTCACCATGAGCACGGTAAATAATAAGCCTTAATGACTTTGGAATTCAACGGTTGGTTACCGACGCCCCTGAATTAAGGGGAAAATACACACAGATTTCTAAACACACTAGAAAACAAACAAAAACAAACCGGGGGCGTTGAAGGACGAAACAGAAAGTTATTGTTGTTATGAAGAAGCAGTATTTGGGATGTGCAAGGCGCAGGGGCAAATATACACTTTCCAGTTTACAGCAAGTAAATAAATACATCGCATTATTTTTTTTTAACGTTCCCGGGGAGATAACTCAGTTGGATGTCTCGAAAAAAGATCTCCTGATAAGATCATAAGGCAGTCTTGGGTTTGTAAATAGACAGGACTGATATACTTCACGTTTCACTGGAGCAGATGGATGGAGGGAATCATTTGAAATTTGGTGGAATCCGAGAGAGAGAGAGAGGCAACCCTCCTCTCCATCTACAGTGTTTAGCTCTGTACACCAATAAGCAATTACCAGGAATAATTGCTCTGGAGAGAGATGCCAAATCGAGCAGGCTGGCATGCCACCGGGAAAGGAGGGCTTCTCTCTCCCAGTAGATAATTTGACTAGAAGAAGAGATCCCACCCAAAGACCTGTCTCGGTCAGAGCACGCGGAGGGGAAGAGAGCCTCGATTTCTCGTCGCCCCTGACCAGCAGAATGCAGAAGGCGAAATTCCGTAAGCACAGATCCGGGAAACTCCTCCGGGTCGGTGGAAGCTGGCTAGAGATTCCCAGACTTGCAGGAAAATGGAATAAATGCTCCCACCCCATTTATAATATATAATTGGGGCAAGGCGTAGGTATAAATTTTGCATGGTTTCCTAAAAGAAATCTTAATCTGGACACGAATTTCCATGTTGTGACTAACTAATTTTCCTCCTTTAATAAAACTGCATTAAATACTGGTTTCCAGACATGTGATAGACTCTTTCTTTCATTCCGTTATTTGTAATAATAATAATAATAATAATAATAATAATAATAATTCAACCCCCCAAAAAACAACCAGTATCTATATCTACATACACCTCAAGTGTTTTTTTAAGGTTCCAGTCCGCATGCCCTTTAATCAGTTGCAGAACATCCCCTGGTTTAAATGGCTCTGGATTGCTCCTTTCCTATCCGCATTCTAGACATTTGCAGTGTGTGTAGGCACATCAGCAATATGCATCCACTCGGAGCGCATTCGATGCTGATGAAGCGAGCGGAGAGACGGCGGGGTTGCTCGTCGCTCCGACGCGATCGCAACAGCGACCCCTCGTGCCCGAATGCGGAACGCCCCGCCCGGTGTCATGTCAGAGCACCCCAGCCTAATCCTGGTGGCCTTTTACTTCCCGTTTCTCCAAACATAATTAAGCGCTCTAGACTAATGAGGTTCCCTCGTGGGCCACATGAATGGAAGGCTTTTATGTGCAGCAAAGAAAGGGGGAAACTCGTATAACTTTTATAAGACGCCCGATCATAATATAAAAATCGACGGGGGTTAAAAGATTTGAATAGATGGGCTATTTCTCTGCAAATCCCTTGTGATCTCCCCCTTTTCTTGCCCCGAAATGTCTGCATTCTTTCTGGCTTAACCAACCTCGATGGGAATTATACAGCCAGGAGACTATTGCTGACTTTTCCAGCCTATCCCCGTTGTTAGAAAATTACCCTGTCTGCTTTAATTTTCCTCTCTGACCCCCTCCCTCCTTTTTTTTTTATTTCTGTATGTTTAAATACTGGAGAGGGTGGGTGGGTGGCTGCTTCTTCAGTGATGTGCAAGGACCTGTCTCCGCCCCACCAAACTGGGGCGAGGAAGGAAAAAAGGAGGTATTTATTTTTTTGGCATCTTAAGGCAGGGATTTTCCCTCAAACCTCCCCTTTTCCTCTGCTACCGAACTGTCTGTTTGCCAAAAGGCGCAGCGGAAAGGAGGTATGTATGTATTTATTTATTTATTTAAAAAGGGAACGGAACGGAAAACACAGCCGCTGTCAATGTTAAGGTAAAAGAGGTGGGGGAAAAAAAAGAGAGAATTACATTTAGAGCAAATGAAAAGATTTCTTCTTTATGACAGAGAAGACTCTGGAGAAAATTGAGCGACGCGCAACGCGGAGACTCGGCTGGAAACCCATCTGCCTTTCTTCCTGGGTGGCGGAGGGGAGATTCGGAGGGAAGGAACAGCCAGAAGTCCTTTACTTAGAAGTAGTCCCACCGAAACCCGATAGGCTTCTCCGGAGTAAAGGGAAGAGTGCAGCTTTTACACCTATATGGGCGGAGGGGGGGGGGGAAGCAACCGACCAATATAGATTCTCCGGCTCTCTCTTTAAATCGTGCTCTGTGTATGTGTGCGGTGGGAGTATGTGTGCGCGCGTGTCTGGTGTGAGTCTCCGCATTGGGTGGTGGGGGGGGGGGGGAGAAGCCAGGTTAACCCTCTCTCTTCCCCAGACCCT